GGGCTTCACAGCTGCCAAACAGAAGGTGCTATGGTTTTCTTTTTATGTATTTAGTATAAGGTCTACAAGGTCTTACTACATAGATTGGACTCATAGTGATTCTCCTGTTTTCAGTCTCCCAAGCACTGAGATTACAGGCATGCGCCACCACGCCCAATCTCAATCACCATCTCAGCGTGCCCTGGGGACGGGGCCTGCACAGCACACCAGGGATGGAGCCTAAGCAGGCGCTTTAGTCTGCAGAGCTGTCTGGCCAGCCCTGGTGCTACACTTTTAGTCTTAGTTGCTGTTATTACTCTGGGGGATGAAAAGATAGACACAGTAGCCAGGTGGTGACCCACACCTATCATCCCAGCATTCTGGAGGCTGAGGCAGGAGGACTGTCACTAGTTTGAGGCCAATCTGGGCTACATAGTGAGCCCAGTATGATTTTTTTTTTTTGTATCTTAAGGAAGGGTCTACAGGGTGGTCTCACTACTAGATTGGACTCTAGTGATTCGCCTATTTACAGCCTCCCAAAAGCTGGGATTACAGGCATGTGCCACCATACCCAGTCTCAATTGCCATCTCAGCAGGCCCTGGGGGTGGGACCAGCAAGGCAGACCTGGGAATTGAACCCCTGGCCTCTGCACCTGCTTGCAGGTGCTTTAATCTGCTGAGCTATTTGGCTGGCCCTGGGCGAGCCCAATATGAAAAAATGAAAAGAAAAAAAAGACAGACAAGGTTTTCAGCCTCCTAGTGGGACAATCAGAGGTCAAAAAATATAAAATACCAGGTAGATGCATAAGCCAGGATAAAGCACACACGCTGAGGTGAAGATGGTGTCTCTGAGGAGGTGACACTCGGCTGAGACCTGTGTGGCAGGGGTGTGCTGGTGGGGGGTGTGGGCTTTGGAGCAGCAGGAACAGCACGTACAGGGGCCTGGGGGCTGCTGGGAGTGGCTCTGCTCCTGGCCCAAGCTGGTGAGTTGCTTCTCTCAGTTTCTACCTCAGCCTCCTCTTCTCGGAAATGGAAACTAGGTTGTGTATGTGACCGAGTGGTCACAAAAGGATACTCCCTAAATGTCTCTTCCTGCACCTGGCTGTGATCCGAGCTGACCTTGTGGTGGTGGTAACAGCAGCCTCCGTCCTCTTTTCCTGTGACCCCCGGGGCCCGCTATCAGGATGGGCGGGATCCAGGAAACACCAACAGGCCAGAGCCAATCACAGGATGCCAGTTGGGCAGGAGAAGGTGCCATGCGCATGCCTAGGGTGGGGGGTCGTGGACACTCATGTGACATCCTCCGTTGTGATGGAAACTCTTTCCTTACCCCCAGCGTGGGACACACAGGCTCCTCCCTGCTGCTTTCTCCTAGAAAGGACCCAGGACCATGGTGACCAGAAGTCACTGGTGCTTTGCGCCTATCAGTGAGGGGGCCTCAGCAGAGCCCAGGAATCTCGGTCCCACCTTGCTGGGGCGGTGTAGGTTCTAGGTGGGTGTCCTGGTCACAGCACTCAGAGGCTGCCTCCTGCTGCTTAAGGCCATCTGTCACCTCAGCCAGTGAGGGCCTGCGGGCATCCGCAGCATTTCTGTAGCATTGGAGAGGCAGTGCTCACCCCACCTCACCCCACTAGACATCTATGGGGCACCACCTCCTCCTCAGTCCTAAGTCTCTTTTTTTTTTTAAAGGGTGTTTTCCCCCTTCCCTTTTTTTTTTTTTAAATATTTATTTATTTTATTTATTTATGTGTGTGTGTGTGGCCAGCTCAGCCCACCAGGGGGCAGGGCTGGCTGGCATGTGGTGCTGGGAGATTGAACCGCGGTCCCTGTGCTTTGCTAAGCTTGTTCTAAGTAGGTGCTTTAGACCACTGAGCCATCTCACCAGCCCCAATCTTTCTTTTTCTTGAGACAGTGTCTCACTACATAGCCTAAGCCGGCCTAGAATTTTTGCAGTCCTCCTGCCTCAGCCTCCCAAGCACTGAGATTACTCACCTGACTCTCAGTTTCTTCTCTCTCTCTCTCTCTCTCTCTCTCTCTCTCTCTCTCTCTCTCTCTCTCTCTCTCTCCCTCTTTTTTTCTTTTCTTTTTTGGGGGGGTCTTTTTAAGATAGAGTCTTGCCTTACAGTTCAGGCTGGCCTTGAGCTTTGTAGCCCAGGCTGGTCTCGAACTTGCAACAATCCTCCTGCCTCAGCCTCCCGAATGCTGGCATTACAGGCTTGCACCACGACGCCCAGCTTCTCTCAGCTTCCTTTACTGCAGTCCCTCTTCCTTTGGGGACCCTGAGCAGTTTCACCTGTTCAGTCAGGGGCGTGGGGCGCTCTTCATCCTGCATTCCTGCCCACCATGCATGGACAAGCGCCCGGAAGCACCAGGCGGGCATGGGAGCGGCCATGGCCTTTGCTGCTCCCCGAGCGGAGCTTGACTCACAGGCCGACTGAGCCGTTCCCACACTGCAACCGCCTGCTGCCATGGTGGGGTGCGTCACCGGGCTTGTTCCAACACGGCCGCAGCCCTGGGACTTCTGACCCAGCCGGGAATTCGCCTGTCTTACACTTCTTCCAGGTAATGCTGCTGCTGCCCGGTCTGGAGACCACACACGAGAAGCTGTCGGGGGGGGGGGGTTAGGGATTGAACCCTGAGGCAGGCCACACCGCTGAGCTACACCCCCAGCCTTTTTTCTATTCATTTTGAGACTGGGCCTCACTAAGTTGCGCAAGCTGACCTCAGATTTGTGATCCTCCTGCCTCAGCCTCCCAGGCAGCTGGAATTATAGGTACACACCATGCCAGACTTTAAAAAACAAACAAACAAAACCTAGGGACCTAAAGGTTGGCTTGGTGCTAGAGTGCTCAGTACTTGGCCCTGGGTTTGATCCCCAGTGTCCCATCATGTAATTCAAGCCTGCCTTGAGCTCACTGTGTAGCCCAGGCTGTTCTTGAGCTCACAGTGATCCTCCTGCCTCAGCTTCCTCAGTGCTGAGATTACAGACGTGTGCCACTGTGCCTGGTTACAAAGAAATAATAATGATAATAATTGATAGCAATTGTACATATTTATGGACACAATGTGATATCTTAAAATGTGTAGACAGTGTGGAGTGACCAGGTCAGGGCAGTGAGCTTATCCTTTACCTCCATCCTTTATGGCTTCTCTGGTTTTGTCTCTGCTGTGGTGGTAACAAATGACTCATTCCTGCCATCCGTCTGTCCACGGGAATCCTGGAGTGCAGTAGACAATGTGTCCCTCCCATCCAGCAGCACCCAGAACCTGGTGTCCATTGATGGGTGGATGGTTAGGAAGACAACTCCGGTTCTAGTGCAGATAGAGCAGGGAGTGACACAGCGTGGCCCTCAGGCCAGCGGATGTTCTCACCAATGCAGATTCTCAGGAGCCATCTGAGTCAGAACTCGTGGGGCGGGGTCCTGTGGCTGCTTCAGCGGTGAGGTCTGAGATTGCGTCAGGGCCCGTCTGCACGGCCTGAGCAGCGCACACCCTGAACCTGGCCATGGGGGGAGGATTTCACAGCCCTGTCCCAGGGGGAGGATTTCACAGCCCTGTCACAGCCCTATCCCCGCTTCCCTCCTGACTCACAAGTCACCTGCTTCTGGGGAGCCAGGCGCCTTGTTGGTTGCAGTCACATGGGGGCAGCGCCCAGAGAGGAAGGAGAGAGGCTGCCCTCTCCTGCCTCGGCCTCCTGAGTGCCCACCACATCCTGCTTCTTCCTTTTTTCCTCTTCTTCTTTTTCTTCTTCCATTTCCTCTTTCCTCCTGCATTCTGTTTTATTTTTCTCCAGCCATGGAAATCAGACCCAGGGCCTCAAGCATGCTAACCTTATCCCTGTGTTTTGTGCATTCATATGTTTTTAATTTTTTGGTATAGCATCTTGCTACGCAGTTCACACTCACAATGATCCTCTGTCTCAGCCTCCCCAGCACTGGGATTACAGGCATGTGCCACCACACCCAGTTTGGGGGTGGCATGGTGCACCAGGGTTCCTGGGCTGGCATGCCATGTGGTACCAGGGATCGAACCCAGGTCCTTGCACGTCCCAGGCAGTGCTTAGACCACCGAGCTATCTCCCCAGCCCCCTGTGGGTGTTTTGAGGGGTACGCCAGTATTCACAGCATGTCAGCCCCATATTCAGGGTGTGTTTTCTAAGTAGATATTTCTTTTTTTGAGGGGTACTGGAAATTGAACTCAGGGCCTCCTGTTTGCCAGGCAGGTACTACCGAGCA